TGTGCATCTCTTAGTATTGATGAACTGCATTTTTATGATTATTATATCAAGTTAAAGCATGTAAACAATGAACAGTTCAATAAAAACGGATCTGTTTTCGCTGAAATATGTCTATAATAAAAGACCAAACAAAAGTACTTTTTTGTGGGTAACGTTCTCAGCAATATTTACACACTTTCGTAACTGAACAGTATAATTTCAAACAATTTAGGTCAACATTCTTTAAAACTGTTATTTTTAATACATATTTCAAAATCAGAAAATTGTAACAACTTTGATTCAAGACAAATTCAGTGATACTGCATGAATATTGACTTATAGAACGGCATAAATGAACTTCTACCTATGGTACTCAGTAATTTTTACATCATCGTTTTTATTCAAGAAACAAAATCGGATTCGTGAATACGTCATTTCACTTTTTGATCCTTTCTATTTTCATAATATTCTCGTATCCGGGATACGGTGGCGATCCATGCGATCCATACGATCCATAAAATCCCACAATCCCGCGATCCGCTTTTCCCCCCTTGCCCTAAATGCTCATTCGTCAGGTTGGACATGTAATATCCGATCAAGCTTTAGATATTGCTGCTAGACTCATTCTTCTATGAGGAACTCGAAAATCATATTAGTGTGAAAGGAAAGTGAAACGGGAAAGAAATAAACGTTATAGATTTGAAAGTATACATATACGATAATGTTCTTTACGTGATGTACATCTACAACCATGTATAGAAAGTAAATGAAAATCTACTGGTGCATTCATTTCCTAAACACATTCAATATTTAGATTACTTCAATCAGTCATTATATCTGTATAATAATCATGAAATATATTTTCAGCTAAATGATATTCATATAAATAATAAGCTTGTGAACAATTATGTATAATACGTTTATAATTAGCAGATGGTTGTGTTTGATTAGAATTTAATTCAATTAATGTACAACAATTAACATGGAAAATTCTTGAAACTTTTATTTTTATTTGTACTAATTCATGTTCAAGTAAACACCATGCTTTAAATATACCGAGTTGATCATTTAATTCATATGTGATATTATTTGTCATGGACATGTATGTATATAAATGTTCAGCTGCACGACGAATAGATGTATCGATTTTTTCATTCATTGAATTTTTTTTAATGATATTTGAGGATTATTAGATGTTATTGATGGTTGATGACATTGTTCACGGTGAGTGTTCCATTTAGGTTTTTGAAAGTTAAGTCATATAATATGTTCATTTATTGTTTGTCCAAATAATGGTAGTGCACCAGGAACAATTCCCCATTGGTGTATGATTGATTTGCCATTTAATTCATCACGTTTACGATCAATTGATAATTGAATATCTTCTGGTA